GCAGTGAGAGACATGAGTGACTCTGGCCTGCAGTGAGAGACATGAGGGACTCTGGCCTGCAGTAAGGGAGTCTCACACACCTCAGCAATCATAACAATATTAAAGTATTTAAAAATTAATAAAGAAGACGTAAAATAAAAATAAATAACGTTCCTGGAATATTTAGCTCATGGATTCACTGACAAGTTTGTTTACAGTTACCTAGGCTGCCATAACCTCGATAATTTTATAATTGAGTAGAAAAGTAATTCACTGATAATATGGCCGTAGATAAGCACATCGACGGAACAATTTGCAAGTACTAGCAGTGTGATGTAGTTGCTAGGCTTAGAATTGGTTACTTGTATTTCTGACAGTGTAATGTTGTTATAGTCAGGCTTAAGCTTGGTTGTAAATCCTTCTAGGACAATGGCAGACTGTTCTTCATCAACCTTGAGGCTGGGAGGCACTCTTGATCAAAGGAATTTGAGTTTTATCTTCTCCCTTTTTCTCCGGAAGGAAGTTTATTATCTTGCGCTCACCAGGGCGCGGTCACCTCTGCCGGCTGAACCTCCACATTTTCCACAACTCTCACACACCACTAGTCGCATTGTATTGTTTAAAGAGCACCAGTAACAACACTGCTTCCATTGGTATTGATGGCAATACTTCCACTAGTGCGCCACGCTCACTTGTGATGTTAACTCCAGCTGCTTCACCTCACTTCTGGCCACAAGCCTATGCTCTAGGCATGAGAGAATGACCATTTCCTACCAAAGCTGACGGAGTGATCCCGTCAGAACTACTTCTACTGCCTCCAGTGCTGTATTCAACTAAAGAAATCTGTTGCGCAAGCTAAACGTCTCTAAGTGAAACTACCCAAATGTTACATATTTCATGTTGATCAAGTTGGAGCTGCTATATACTTTTATCAACAGATGGTTGCGTCTCGCCCTGTGTGTCCACTCTCACACATGGTCAGGCTTCTAACTCCTCACATTTAGAAATCAAACTAATTCTTGTGTGTCGCCACACGGAGCTCAAACATGAACATATAAAATACTATGTGACCCACACTGCTTATAGCATATTTTTAGCATATTTTTTATGGAAGACAAAAACAAACTGCAAAATTACTCTCTATTGATCTTTCAGATCTCAAGAGCAAGAAACATTACTAGTTTCATTAATATTATGTAAGAACCCAACTTGTAATTCAATCACATTCCTGTATTATACAGTTAATATATACTAAGATATAAAGCTCTTGTATACAGTGCGATTTTTTCAAAAATATCAATTGAAAAGTGATTTTAGAATTGAATACACATACCATGAAAGTCTTCACGTCTGCTACTCACTTACGAAAGCATTTTTTTCAATCACATTTACAAAAAAAAATCGCGCTATATACAGGCTTATGAGAGCTGACTCTACTTCCAAAATAAAGTGAATCTTATAAAGAGCTCTAGGCCTTTTTTTTTTTACTTTTATGGGCCTACTGAAGCGGAGCCTACATCGTGTTTATATATCTGAAGCATGAAGTTTGACCTCATATTTTACGTATAAAGCCTATATATATACATTTATACTCTCATTGAGTGAGGAACCAAAAATATAGATTATTATTGCATTCCTAGGGGAAGCGGTAAACCCGTAGGGGAGCGTCATACCTCGCCTGTGGAATGAACACCTTGTTAGTCTCCTCATGTTCCCCACGACCACCTTGAACGACTCTCACCGCCCACACGTCTAGTTTATTCCCTTAAAGGACTAGCTACCTTGATACTGGTCTAGGGCCTCTTGATTTCCCACCCACAAAGTTGCAACTACAGTACTACACCCAGGTATTGCGTGACCCCCATGCGGTTTTACCGCTTCACCGTTAATGTGTTAATGTAATACAGATCCTCCCCGATTTACGTCCCGAGCTCATTTCCGAACGACCGGTCGGATCTCGATATATACGGATGTGGGAATTATGTTAGTAAGGCGTGTCGAAGTTATATACCTGTACAGCCTAGATTATCATACATAGCAGTATATGTGTAGAGAACCTGGGATAACCCAACACCTGCTATATTAAGCTTGTTACTCACAAACTGATATTACTTACTTGTAGAGATGATTCGTAGGCTTCACAAATAAAATTATATGGAGGTAAAACTAGGCCTGGTTATACGGCCGTCGCTAACGCTGGCGGACGTATGATCAAGGGTTGTTTCTATATTTACGTACATATATATATATTTTCTAATTTGTAGTGTATGTTTTCGGTCGGATGGACGTAAGTTGCACAGGTCGGAAGTCTGGGAGGATCTGTACTCTGTACAAACTGGAATATCACACTTGCTTTAACTTATTCACTCGACAAATGTGACATTTTATTTTGGCAACGTTTCGCTCTCCAGGAGCTTTGACAAAGCCTTGTCAAAGCTCACGGAGAGCGAAACGTTGCCACAATAAAATGTCACGTTGGTTGTGACGTTTTTACCTAACTTTTGTGGGTAATTCGACCATTGTTACTGAGTCAGTACCAGCACCAAGCAGGTTACAAGGACGCAAGAATACGCCAGGCTATGTACGTGTGTGATGGTTCTCAGTCTGTACTTTCTGAAGACCACTGGGCTACACATCTGCGGACCAGTGGTCTACTCACGTGAGGACCTCTGGTCCAGACACCTGCGGACCTCTGGTCTACTCATGTGAGGACCTCTGGTCTACACACCTGCGGACATCTGGTCTACTCACGTGAGGACCTCTGGTCTACACGTAGGACCTCTGATCTACACACAGGACCTCTGGTCTACACACCTGCGGATCTCTGGTCTACTCATGTGAGGACCTCTGGTCTACACACCTGCGGACCTCTGGTCTACTCGCGTGAGGACCTCTGGTCTTCACACCTGCGGACCTTTGGTCTACTCACGCGAGGACCTCTGATCTACACACAGGACCTCTGGTGTACACACCTGCGGACCTCTGGTCTACTCATGTGAGGACCTCTGGTCTACACACCTGCGGATCTCTGGTCTACACACAAAAGGACCACTAGTCTACACACCTGCGGATCTCTGGTCTACCCACATAAGGACCACTGGTCTACACATGTTTACCTCAGAATACTACATACGCTTAAGTGTGAAATTTCCGTTAATACGATGCCAGTCACAGAATAATACACAGTATACAATACACAGTATACAATACACAGTATACAATACACAGTATACAACACACAGTATACAATACACAGTATACAATACACAGTGTACAATACACAGTATACAATACACAGTATACAATACACAGTATACAATACGCAGTGTACAATACACAGTATACAATGCACAGTATACAATACACAGTATACAATACGCAGTATACAATACACAGTATACAATACGCAGTATACAATACACAGTATACAATACGCAGTATACAATACACAGTATACAATACACAGTATACAATACGCAGTATACAATACACAGTATACAATACACAGTATACAATACACAGTGTACAATACACAGTATACAATACACAGTATACAATACACAGTATACAATACGCAGTATACAATACACAGTATACAATACGCAGTATACAATACACAGTATACAATACGCAGTATACAATACGAAGTATACAATACGCAGTATACAATACGCAGTATACAATACGCAGTATACAATACGCAGTATACAATACGCAGTATACAATACACAGTATACAATACGCAGTATACAATACGCAGTATATAATACACACTCCTAAAATACACTTCAAGGCA